TCCAGGGTAATCGGTTGATTCAGGCTTTGAGCTTTTCTCTGAGCTAATATCACATTTTTCACCTCTGATTTTTCCTTAGATTCCCTTAAAATTAGATGCAACTAATTTTTTCTGATGAAAACACCTATTAAATTTAACAATTGTATGTTTTTCTGATTTGTTAATTTTTTAATTTGTTAATTTCTGATTTGTTAATTTCTGCTTTATTCTTTGTCCCTCCTGTTCTCAGAGTTCTTTTGTGTTGTCTATTTATTAAATTGAAGAGTTATCTGATTTTTTTCCCTTCCTAAACCATGTAAGTACGGTTATGAATTTACTTCTGATTTCAGCACTGGACATCAAAATTTGGAAAATGGGGTAAGTACTCCTTTTCGTGTATCTTTTTATATTTTCAGCGTAATTCCTTAGAACAATAGTGTCGTGCTTGTTTGCACCACCATGGACTCCCTTTTTTGCTTAAAAATTTAGTTTTTATTATTGTGGTCAGAAGATAGGTTAAATTTTCTATAAATGTTGCATGGTGCTTAAAAATAGGTATCCTGTAAAGGTGCCAAGACTGATGTTTATTAATCCAATCTTGTTTTTCAAATCCTAACTGCTTTTAACACTTTTTTCATAAATAGCTGTTTAATTTCCCATTTTAATTATCTTGACCGTAGTTTTTGTTTTGTTGCTCTTGCTTACTGTAGTCTGTAATGTCTCATGACTTCATTTTGAATAATTTTTATATAAAATAGCTCTTTACCTATTTGAACACTTTCTACTTTAACTTCTAATTTGTGACATATGTCAGCCCTTTGTTTTTATGCTTTTGTCGTCCATAGTAATTTAATATGTAGACCTCCTATTTTTACATTCTACCAGTGTTTGTCTTTATTAAATGTGTATTTTACTAGTATTTCACTTCTGCCATCCATTCTTAGCCAATCTTTAATCAGTGGTTAAAAAATTCAAATGTTCACATTCCTGAATTCTTCATTTTGATTCTTTTCATAGGCTGGACTAAAACCTTTGTCATTTGGAGAAGCAACAAGAGTGCTTTATTTCCTAAACTCTTGTATGCCTGAAACACACTTTCTATTGTTTTTATCATTTTATTTCATTAAAAATGTTAGTCACCTGTCTTCTGACATTTAAGGTAATAGAAGAAAGAGCTGAGGCTATTTGTTAATTTTGCTGATGAAATAAGCCTTTTAATTTTGAGCACTTAATACTTAAAAATCTGGGTTTTTCTATTATCTTGGATTATTGAAGTACCATTTCTGTTTTCTTTTAAGAAATACCGTTCACTTGTTTGGTCTGAGTCTTTTCTCTCTTCCTCTATTATATCCCAGCAGTGTCAGAGAGCTGTTCAAATACAGGTAGTCCCCAACCCACCACGTATTCGAGTTATGACAAACCACACTTAAAACCGTCCCGTTTTGTTTTTTTGTACATCTTAGTAGTAAATACTACAGTGTTACAGCTCGTAATTTGCTGATATCATTTTCAAATGTTCATTTGCAGATGTTCAATGTTATGATTTACTGATACAGCAGGCTATGGCCAAGTCTACAACAAAGTCTGTGTTGATGTTGGTGTCGGGAGCCGTAAGGGATAGAAAGTTAGGCTGTGTTCTACTCTAACCACATACAGTTGAACTGCGCCCACGCCCAACAGCCATTACAACTCTGACTTCATTGTTACAACACTGATGCTGATAAAGATCAGATTTATAAAGATACTGATAATAAAAGGCAATAATGACAACTTAAAAAAAAAAAAGGTATTTGACTTATGTCAGAACTGATTTAGAACAGAATCATTGGAACCCCATCATAAGTTGGGACTACCTTGGTATTTTCTAGATCACTGATTTTGTATGCATTGTTAATTCTGTTTATCTTCAATGATATATTGAAACCTTCTATTTTGGGCCTCTTTTTTCCTGTGTTTTACCCAGCTCCTGTTTCACAGTTATAAATTCTTGTGAGTTAGGATATTTACTGAGAGTATTTTAAGGCTATTAAAGCATAATAAGCTAAGAACTTGAGCTTTAGAGCTAGACTACATAGATTTGAACCCTAGGCTCAGGCACTTAACCAGCTGTTTGACCTTGGAATTTATTTAACCTTCCATGCCTCAATTTCCTTATCTATAAAGTAGGGATAATAATGGAATCTATCTCATTAGTTTTTGTCAAGATTAAAATGAGTTAATACAAATAAAACCTTTTGGACAGTGCTTAGGATATAATGAGCCTCAAAAGTTTGCCATTACTATATAGATGTCTGAATCTTAAGAATAGTTCTTTTTTCCCATTGGCTTTTGGTTCCTTCAAAGATAATGATCTACGATGAATTATTACCAACAGATATGTACACTGTGGCGTTTAGTGCCCCCTCCCCTTCCCCAGTAATGTCAGTGTAAGCTTGAGTGTGAGTTTCCCCTTCTCAGAGCTGCAGTTGAGGCTAGTGTGCACAGCCCCTGCCTACAGTGGTTTATTTTTTTGGGTGAAATGCAATTCAAGATACTTATACCACAGTCTTTCCTGCTTTAAGAATGGACACTGCAGCTTACTAGAAGTGGCAATCCCTTCCCTTCTATACAGATCTTTCAGTTTTAGCAGTTTCGACCTTCTTTGCCGCTCTCTGTGCTGCTGCAGTAATTCAGAGACCAACCCCCAGGATTTTCTCAGTTTCATCTACCCCCATTCCCAAACTTGAATGCTGGGGTTGATAAATTGCTGAACAGAAGATTTCAAAGGGCGGCTTGAGAAGACAAAGTATCATAAGGAAATGTGCAAAGACCTGGAGATAGAAAACCAAGAGAAGAACACGCTCGGCATTTCTCAAGCTGAAAGAACTGAGAAAAAATTCAAGCCTCGAGTTGTAATACTGAAGAAAAATATTAAATGATGCAGGAAGCATCAAAAGAAGATGGAAGGAATACATGGAGTCACTGTACCAAAAAGAACTGGTCAACGTTCAACCATTTCAGGAGGTAGCATATGATCAAGAACCGACGGTTACTGAAGGAAGAGGTCCAAACAACACTGAAGGCACTGGCGAAAAACAAGGCTCTAGGAATTGATGGACTATTGAGATGTCTGAACAAACTGATGTAGCACTGGAAGTGCTCACTGGTCTATGCCAAGAAATTTTGGAAGGCCAACAGACTGGAAGAGATCCATATTTGTGCCCATTCCAAAGAAAAGTGATCCAACAGAATGCAGAAATTATTGAACAATATTATTAATATCACACGCAAGTAAAATTTTTCCAAAGATCATTCAGAAGCAGAACACTGACAGAGAACTGCCATAAATTCAAGCCGGATTCAGAGTAGGACGTGCAACAAGGGATGTCATTGCAGATGTCAGATGGATCATAGCTAAAATACCAGAAAGATGTGTACCTCTGTTTTATTGACTGTGCAAAGGCATTCAACCATGTGGATCTGTCTTAGTCATCTAGTGCGGCTACAACGGCAATACCACAACTGGATGGCTTTAACAAAGAGAAATTTATTTCTTCACAGTAAAGTAGGCTAAAAGTCCAAATTCAGAGCGTCAGCTTCAGGGGAAGGCTTTCTCTCTGTCGGCCTTCTCGTCAATGTTCCCCTGGACTAGGAGCTTCTCTGCGCAGGGACCCTGGTCCAAAGGACACGCTCTGCTCCCAGCACTGCTTTCTTGATGGTATGAGGTCCCCTGGTCTCACTGCTTACTTTTTTTATATCTCAAGAGATTTTGCCTTAGGACACAATCTAGTAAATTGAGTCCTGCCTCACTAACACAACTGCTGCCCATCCTCCCTCATTAACATCATAGAGGCCCATCCTCCCTCATTAACATCATAGAGGCAGGATTTACAACACATGGGAAAATCACAGGCTACAGGAATCATGGCCCAGCCAAATTGATACGCACATTTTTGGAGGGACAAAATTCAATCCATGACAGGATCGTAACAATTATGGCTAACATTGTGAAGAATGGGAATTCTGGAACAATTAGTGCTCATGCCGAACCTGTACATAAACCAAGAGGCAGTTGTTTGAACAAGGGGATACTGCCTGGTTTAAAGTCAAGAAAGGCATGCATCAGGGTTGTATCCTTTCACCATACTTATTCAATCTGTATGCTGAGCAAATAATCTAAGAAGCTGGACTATATGAAGAACAGGGCATCAGGATTGGAGGAAGACTCATTAACAACCTGCGACATACAGATGACACAACCTTGCTTGCTACAAGTGAAGAGGACTTGAAGCACTTACTGAAGATCAAAGACCACAGCCTTCAGTATGGATTACACCTTAACATAAACAAAAATCCTCACAATTGGACTGTCATGGATTGAATTGTCCCCCAAAAATATCTGTCAACTTGGCTGGATCATGATTTTCAGTACTGTATGACTGGACTGTCTACCGTTTTGTCATCTGATGTGATTTCCCTATGTGTTGTAAATCCTATCAATATGATGTAATGAGATGGATTAATGGCAGTTATATTGATGACATATACAAGATTCGATAGTGTCTTAAACCAGTCTCTTTTGAGATATAAAAGAGAGTAGGGAGCAGAGACACCCGGGGACCTCATACCACCAAGAAAGCAGTGCCAGGAGCAGAGGGCGTCCTTTACAATCCTCAAAAGTTGATTTGTTCTCTCAAGTCATTGGTATTTCAAATAATAATATAATGTAAAAGTGTGTCAAGCTTCTAAAGATTACCAAAAAATTAATGCAGAAGAAAAAAATCTGTGATTTCAAAACGTTTTGCTGTTTAATCTTTTTATCTTATAAAAAAGGAGTTAAAATAGAAAATAATAAAAAGTGAAACTGATTATTTTGTGTATAAGCTGACCCCAAAACCAAACCCATTGCAGTCGAGTTGATTCCAACTCATAGCAACCCTATAGGACAGATTAGAACTTCTCCATAGGGTTTCCAAGGAGCGGCTGGTGGATTTAAACTGATTGACTTTTTGCTTAGCAGCTGAGCTCTTTAATCACTTCACCAATAAGCTGGCCCAGGGTAGTCAAATTCATTACAGCATGTCTTTGTGTTTGCATAAAGATTTGTCTACAGCTTTTGAATCAGCATGGCAGAAGCACCTCCTCCTCCATTGCAAATACTGGCAAGACCGTATTCTCCTTGCTTCAAAGTATGAACCATATGAATGACAATCCTGGCTCCAGACATCCTAGGATTAAGAAAACATTTTGGTTTTTTAATGAAGTACAGAATTGGTGGCTAACCAAAAGTTACTTTTCTTAAGCTTGGGAAATTTGTTTCAAGAACAGTTATAGCTGTTTTAAAAGCCTGAGCAAAGACTTAAGTCTTTAAGTTCTATTTCTTCTTCAGTATAAAACAATATTAGGTTTCAAGCCAGAGATGTGACATCCCCGCATTCAGTGTTGGTTGCTAACAAAAATGGTGTCTGCCTTAGGAAGGATGGGTAGGGAGGAAAACTTAAACCATGTAACAATAGGAATTATCATGAAGCAGCATGTTTAGCTAGAAATGCAAAGTCACCTATTAACTAAGATATTTTTCCTTATGATTTTACCTACCCTATTGGATGTCCCAGAGAAACAGCTCCTCCGTTGATATTCACTTTTTGATGATCAATCCCTAGCATTTTAATGTTTGCTAGTACAACCACACTAAAGGCTTCATTTACTTCCCACATTGTAACATCTTCTTTTTTCAATCCTGCATTTTTAAGAACCTAAAATTTTTTAAAAGACAAGAATCAAAACGTATTTATGTATTTTCTTTTCTTAGAATTCTACAATTTTGTTTGTATTTCCCTTGGGTGAAACAGTTACAAATACATGATTTTCTTGAATGTTCCATTGATATTTGAAAAGAAGGTGTATTCTCTTAATTTGGGGTACATAATTTGATATCTATTCTTGAGATCTACTTTACTGATTATGTTTAGTTCTATATTCTTATTCTGTCTAATGAAAGAGGTATATTAATCTCTGCTAGTAGTAGTTTCCTATTATGCTGCATATGCTGTAGTTTCTGCTTTATAAAAGGTACTGCAGGGTTATTTGGGGCACAGATATTCACAGTTGTTAGTATTTATTATTTAAAGTTTCTTATTATTTGTTCTGGTCCTTGGGTGGTACAGATGGTTTGCGATCAGCTGGTAACCTAAAGGTTGCTGGTTTGAACCCATCCAGCAGCTCCATGGAAGAAAAGCTTAGTGATCTGCTTCTATAAAGATTACAGCCAAGAAAACCCTATGGAGCAGTTCTACTCTATAACACATGGGGTGGCCATGAGTCAAAATCGACTTGATAGCAGTGTCTCTTTTTTCTTTTTTTAAACAATGTGGTCTGTTTGTTTTGTTAGTTACTCAGCTATTCAGCAAAGTATTTTTGTTCTAGTGGTTATAGTTATAGTAATACCTTTATAAAACATTGTTAGTACCCCTTTTCTTTAGAAATTTTATTGTTGTGAATGATAAAATTAATTTGAAACTTTGCCTCCCCCTTTCCCTTCTTTTCTTCCACCAGTGAGCTAAGGTAGCTTTCCAAGCTGCAGAGCTCAAAGTCTTCCTCTGTTCTAACATGAGAGGTGTCTGCCTTCATCATAACCACAACCAGTTGCCATGGAGTAGATTCTGACTCATGGCAGCCCCATGTGTGTCAAAGTAGAACTGTGCTTCATAGGGTTTTCAGTGGCTGATTTTGCAGAAGCAGATCATCAGGTCTTTCTTCAGAGGTGCCTCTGGGTGGACTCGAAACTCTAACCTGTCAGTTAGCAGCCAAGAGCTTTAACTGTTTGTGCACCCAGGGACTCACACCTTCATAATGCAGAATCTTTATCACTCTTTCCTTCCTATACTATGCATTCCCTTTCAGAAGTTGTATATTTCTGTAACATTCTGAGATCTGTCATCTCTGGACAAATTTCTACTCCCTATTCTTTCTGATCCTTCTCTGTCCACTTTCCCCACTGATTCTGCTCTTGTTTTTCTAGGTACTACTCTCAGAAGTTCCCTTTCTGGAAGGAAGTATTTGCTGTGGACTTCTGACATACCTGAGCTCCTAAACCATCCCAGCACTTCCTCTTTTTTCTGTGGCCCCTTAGCCATTTCCCATGAAGACTTGCCTGTTTCTCCCTTTGGTATCATTTATGGACAATTTGGAGATTGTAGGTTTTCTCTGTCTCTAGTGTCACTGCTCACTCCAAAACCTGCTTCCATCAGTGCCCCTTCAGGATGGAATCTCTTGTAGAAGTGATCATTTTCTAGACCTGGAACCACCTGGACCCTCAGCATTCCCTTTTTATTCTTTGTCACATCGGCCTCCCCTTTGTGGTGACCACACCAGGTATGTGGGCTCAGAGTCAGACAAGTAATTCACAGTTACGTTGTTTTTATCTATTCCACTGAAGATGTAGATTGTTGGTTGCTCTTTATTTTTTTGTTTTGTTATCCTTGTTGTTCTTATTTTTAGGAGGAGAAGTGGGAAGATTCTAAACTAAGTTATCATCATGCTTTTGCCTGAAACCTTAGTCTAAGCAAACCAGAAGCTGGCATAAATGGAGTGTGGTCTCTCACACACTTGGCTCGTAATTACCTTAGGTACTGCATGTGCAGGTGCAATTGGGAAATCAATAGGTTCTACAGCAGCGTCAGCAAATCCTATAAAAAACAAATTGTTTGTTAAAGTCTTTTGTCACAAGTATCCAAAGCTATACCTAACAACTGTTATATGTAATATGCAAAAGCCTATTTATCCCATTAAATACAAGCGTTTTAACCTCTATAATACATGTAAATGTATTTGTTCTTTTTCTAAAATTCTACATTTTATAAAATTACATCTTCAATGATTTTCAACCAGAGTGAGGAGGAATTTGCCTCCAGGGACATTTGGTACTGTCTGGGGACATTTTTGGTTGTCACGACAGGAGGGATCTAGTGTGTAGAGGTAAAGATGCTGCTAAACATCCCACAATGCATAGGAGAGTCCCCACAACAAAGAACTATTTGGTGCAAAACGTCAATACTGCTGAGGTTAAGCAATCTTGATGTAAGCAAAGAATAAAATGAAGTTATAAGCTTTTTATAAAGTAACAAAATGACATGTAAGTAATAAAATGACATTTGTTTAAGTCGTTATAAAATACTTTCACATCCATTTCCAAATACATTGAGGCAAGGCAGATTTTTCAGCTAAAAAATAGACTTCAGGAGATTGAGGACTTGCCCAAGGTCACATAGTTAACAAATACCAGAACATCTAGGTTTTACATCTCTAGACTCCTAATCCAATCCCGTATTCTTTTTTTTCTATCTTGCTGGCTCTCTGGGGTAAAACATGAACTCTTCATATAGAACCGGAAAAATTTTTTTAAAGTTTACATTTATGTAAAGGAAATTATATTATCAAAACCATATTAAAGGACCTCCAATTCCAATTAAAATATGTACACCCACTCCTCACTTACCGACATGGTTAGGTTCCAAAGACCAGTTCATTATGCAAAAATCAGTGTGATGCAAATAACGAAGGATGACCACATGGGATCACAAAATGAAGGGTGACTACGTCATTACATAACTGCCAAACCACTGAGAACCATGACCTGGCCAAAATGACACAAAACCTTAACCATCACAGCCAGAGTTACTCTTGCCTTGCACCTCGGCATTCATTACTGCCAGATGTATACCGCTAATGTGAAAAACAGTCGGATAGTAGATTTTTTACTACTGTCATAAATGCAAAATGTTGGATAATGAGATAGTCAATAAGTGAGGAGTACTGGTTAAATTATGTCACAAAATAAAACCTGTAGATAGAAACAGACAAGTCCAATATTATCTGTTACCAATAAAGAAAATCAATTTCAGAGGTTTAGGAGTAAACAAGGTCAGAACATCTACCTGCTACTCTTGCCAGTGGTTTAACATTGAGCCTCTTGGCTGCATCTGTGGTCATAAGAACCACAGCAGCTGCTCCGTCATTCAGTGTGCTAGCATTGGCAGCTGTTACTGTGCCTGAAAGCAACAATAAACAAAGTCAAAATATTCCTTCATACTGAATTCACTTGGTTGAATTTAACAAATACCTGCAGTGCATTGCTTGGGTTGTTAAATGTGTGAGAAATTACAAAGTAGAGAGAATTCCTGCCCTCAGGAAACATGTACATAGCTAACTACAATATAATTAATGTACGAATGCCTTTTCATATTAGTTTTTCTTAACAGTTTTTCCAAAGCTAGCTCAGGAACACGTGTGATTCATTGTAGTTGGTTGTTAGGTGCTATCAAGTCGGTTTCCAACTCATAGCGACCCCATGCACAACAGAAAGACTGCTGAGTCCTGCGCCATCCTCACAATCGTTGCTGTGTTTGAGCCCACTGTTGCAGCTACTGTGTCAACTGATCTCATTGAGGAGCTTCCTTTTTTTTCGCTGACCGTCTACCAAGTATGATGTCCTCCTACAGGGACTGCTCCCTCCGGATAACATGTCCAAAGTAAGCAAAACAAAATCTCACTGTCCTTGCTTCTAAGGAGCATTCTGGCTGTAACTCTTCCAAGATAGATTTGTTCATTCTTCTGGCAGTCCATGGTATATTCAATATTCTTTGCTGCCAACACTATAATTCAAATGAATCAATTCTCCTTTGGTCTTGCTTATTCACAGTCTAGCTTTAGCATGCATATTAAGCAATTGAAAAAACCACGGCTTGGGTCAGGGGCACCTTAGTCCTCAAGGTGATATCTTTGCTTTTTAAAACTTTAAAGAGATCTTCGCAGCAGACGTGCCCCGTGCAATACATCATTTGATTTCTTGACTGCTGCTTCCATGGGCATTGACTGTGGATCCAAGTAAAATGAAATCCTTGACAACTTCAGTCTTTTCTCCGTTTATCATGATGTTGCTTATTAGTCCAGTTGTGAGGACTTTTGTTTTCTTTATGTTGAGGTGTATCTATACTAAAGGCTGTAGTCTTTGATCTTCTTTAGTAAGTACTTCCAGTCTTCTTCACTTTCAGCAAGCAAGGTTGTGTCATCTGCATATTGCAGGCTGTTAATGGGTCTTCCTCCAATTCTTCTTCATATAGTCCAGATTCTCAGACTATTTGCTCAGCATACGGATTAAATAAGCACAGGGAAAGGATATAACCCTGACACACACCCTTCCTGACTTTAAACCACGCAGTACCCCTTGTTCAGTTTGAACGATTGCCTTTTGATCTATGTATAGGTTCTGCATGAGCACAAATAAGTGTTCTGGAATTCCCATTCTTCACAATGTTATCCATAATTTGTTATGATCCACAGAGTCAAATGCCTTTGCATAGTCAACAAAACACAGATAAACATCTTTCTGGTATTCTCTGCTTTCATCCAAGGTCCCTCTGACATCAGCAATGATATCCCTCATTCCACACATCCTCTTAAATTTCCCGCAGTTAATTCTGGATATGCTGCTGCAACCATTTTTTAGTTATCTTCAGCACAATTTTACTTACATGTGATATTAATGATATTGTTCTATAATTTCCACATTCTGTTGAATCAACTTTCTTTGGAACGGGCACGACTGTGGATCCCTTCCAGTAGGCTGGGCAGGTAGCTGTCTTCCACATTTCTTGGCACAGACGAATGGGTGCTTCCAACACTGCATCCGTTTGCTGAAACATTATCAGCTGGTATTCCATCAATTCCTGGAGCCTTGTTTTTGCCAATGCCTTCAGTGCATCTTAGATTTCTTCCTTCAGTACAATTGGTTCTTGATTATATGCTACCTCCTGAAATAGCTGAACACTGACCACTTCTTTTTGTTAGTGACTCTGTGTATTTCTTCCATTGTCTTTTGATGCTTCCCGGGTCACTCAATTTTTTGCCCATAGAATCCTTCAATCTTGCCACTCAAGGCTTGAATTTTTTCTTCAGTTCTTTCAGCTTGAGGAATACCGAGCGTGTTCTTCCTTTTGGTTTTCTAAGGGGTTTTCTAACTCCAGGTCTTTGCACATTTCATTATAATACTTTACTTTGTCTTCTTGAGCTGCCCTTTAAAATCTTCTGCTCGGCTTTTTCACTTCATCATTTCTTCCTTTCACTTTATCTATTCTACATTCAAGGGGAAGTTTCAGAGTCTCTTCTGCCATCCATTTTGGTCTTTTCTGTGTTTTCAGTAAACTTTTCCTTTCTTCATGTATGATGTTCTTGATGTGCCACAACTTGTCTGGTCTTCGGTCATTGGCATTCAGTGCGTCAAGTCTATTGTTGAAATGGTCTCTAAATTCAGGTGGGAGATACTCAAGGTCATACTTTGGCTCTCGTGGACTTGTTTTAATTTTCTTCAGCTTCAACTTGAAATTGCACATGAGCAATTGATAGTCTGTTTCACAGTTGGCACCTGGCCTTGTTCTGACTGATGATATTGAGCTTTTCCATTGTCTCTTTCCACAGATGTATTCGATTTAATTCCTGTGTATTCCATCCTGGGAGGTCCATGTGTATGGTCGCCATTTATGTTGTTGAAAGAAGGTATTTGCAATGAATAAATCATTGGTCTTGTAAAATTGTATCATGTGCTCTTAAGCATCATTTCTGTCACCAAGACCATATTTTCCAACTACCAATCCTTCTTTGTTTCCAACTTTCGCATTCCAATCACCAGTAATTATCAATGCATCTTGACTGCATGTTTGATCAATTTCAGACTGCAGAAGTTGGTAAAAATCTTCAATTTCTTCATCTTTGGCATTAGTGGTTGGTGGTGGTTTTGGATTGAATTGTGTCCCCCAAAAATGTGTGTCAACTTGGCTAGGCCATGATTTCCAGTATTGTGTGATTGTCCACTATTTTGTCATCTGATGTGATTTCCTATCTGCTGTAAATCCTACTTCTATGATGTTAATGAGGCAGGATTAGAGGCAGTTATGATAATGAGGCAGGACTCAATATATAAGATTAGACTGTATCTGGAGTCAATCTCTTTTGATATATAACAGAAGTGAGCAGAGAAACAGGGGGACCTCATACCACCAAGAAAGCAACACCAGGAGCACAGCATGACCCTTTGGACTTGAGGTTGCTGCACTGAGAAGCTCCTAGACCAGGGGAAGGCTGATGACGAGAGCCTTCCCCTGTAACCAACAGAGAGAGAAGGCCTTCCCCTAGAGCTGGTACCCTGAATTTGGACTTCTAGCCTCCTAAACTGTGAGAGAATAAATTTCTCTTTGTTAAAGCTATCTCCTTGTGGTATTTCTATTATAGCACTAGATAACCAAGACAGTGGGTAAATTTGAATAATATTCACGTTAACTGGTCTTCCTTGTAGGTGGTAAGGATATTGTCTTATCACTGACAGCCTGGTACTTCAGGAATAGATCTTGAAATGTTCTTTTTGATGATGAATGCGATGCTGTTCCTCTTAAATTTGTCATTCCTGGCATAGTAGACCATATGACTCCCCAATTCAAAATGACCAAGTCCATTTCAGCTCACTAATGCCTAGGATATCAACGTTTATGCGTTCCATTTCTCGTCTCGACGTATTTTGAATGCCTTCCAACCTGAGGGGCTCATCTTCCAGCACTATATCAGACAATGTTCTGCTGCTATCCATAAGGTTTTCACTTTTTTTTTCAGAAATAGATTGCCAGGTCCTTCTTCCCAGTCTGTCTTAGTTTGAAAGCTCTGCCGAAATCTGTCCACCATGGGTGACCATGCTGGTATTTCAAATATCAGTGGCATAGCTTCCAGCATCACAGCGACATGCAAGCCACCACAGTACAACAAACTGACAGATGAGTGGTGGACATGCATGATAACATTTAACATGGGTAAATGAGGTCTACAACTCTTAAATACAGTGACCACTTCATTCGTCTTTTTCCCCAGAGTCTAGTTCTTTGCTTATCTAAAATACAGCAAACAATCAGTATAATTTGTCAAATCAATGTTAAAATTAGGTATTTCTCCTCTAGAAGCACCTGGAGTTAAATATCAATGAATACAAACCACTGAACTTTTAAATGGGAGAATTTTATGGTATGTAAATCATATGACAATAAAGCTGTAAAAATGTAAGTGAAGACCCCATGCCTGCTCTGAATTCTGCTGAAACTCTGGATATATACTTTTGCAATACAAGTTTTGAAGAGGGATCCATTCTTATACTTGGCATTGAGAAATTCAGTCAGGAAAGGGGAAAAAACTAATTTCAGATTATTATCACAGCTGTATATAGCTAATTTGAAAACCAGAACTGACCTTTTCTCAAAGGATTTCCAAATAATTAATTTTGAACACTAACATCTAACTTGTTGTTCAACAACTATTGAGTATTCACTATATGCCAAGCACTGGATATATGACAATAAACAACACAGCTATCATCCTAGTCCTCAGGGAACTTACTGATATTTAACACAATATTTAAACCCGATTTTCAAAATACAGTAACTTTCAAGATGAACTGCATGTGAAGAACTAAATTCTATAGCCACACTAAAGAATCTCTTCGCTAAGATTTATATATTGGAGGTATAAGCTGTTAAGCAATTTTAAATATACTCTGAATTATTACCACTCATTTTATTAATTTCATCTGAGCCTGACACATTTAAGATGTTAACTAACATCTAGATTGTTTTCTAGAGTGACTTTTTAAAAATCCTTGAGCAGTTCACAATTATTAATCTACCTGTATACTGACTCAATTTTGTTCTTATGCTTCATTGTTAATACTAACCATTTTCTTTTTGGAAAACTGTCTTCAGCTTCGGAACTTTGCTAAAATCCACACGTTTATATTCTTCATCTTCTTTCACTACTACATCTGGCTTACCTAAAACAAAAATTAAGTAGTCACCATGCAAGACAAAAATTATTCATTCAGCAAGAAACTGATGACAAAGGTGCCTGGTAGTCTGCGTCTCCCTTTGTATGCCTGCATACCTGAAACCCACCCAAGTAAATTCTCATCTAGAATCTACCACCTATCACCTCCATTATGTTAGTGTCTTTAAGAGGAGTTAAGTAACGTAATGGAGTTTTAAATTTTGTACACAACCATATCCTACTCTTCTCTTTTAGCTCACTTCTATGATCACAGACCCTACCCTCCTGACCACTGGTATCTATGGTCACCCTGAGAACAGTAATTGCTCCAGGAATAAGAATGTAACCTAAACCAAGCCAATAAGTCTTTCCTGTAGATTTATTCTGCCAGAGTTGGTGAGAAGGTGTCTTTCCTCTTTGAGAGCTCTACATGTGTGACTCTAGAAATGGAGGCAGCAACTTAAGGAAGCCTGAGACAATAAAGCTCTAATGCATGCAGCACTGAGAAACCAAGAGAGCATGTCCTAATAGTATCGAATCCCCAAATCCAGTCTTGAAGTTCCCCAAGCTGACTGGTTACTGCTATTCTTCTTTGGGTTCTGGAAGTTACCCCAGTAGCCTTTCAATAAGTCCTCTTTTTTATTTAAGCTAATGTGTTGCCTGTCGCTTATATGAGAAAGAGTTCTAATATGTTCATTTCTCAAATTAATTTAATTAAAATTAGTAGTTAGTGGATCCTTCAATTGAGTGAAATATATTATCTCTGACTTGGCACCCTTTCCCTTAATTAACCATAAGCAGAAGTGTCAGTGTCCTCAGCTGAAGTGAACAAAGATAAAGATGTACTAATTTAAAACTTTTTAACTTTAAAAAAAAATCAGCACCATGTTAAGTTGAGTAAAAATTAGACCTACTTTGAGACATTATCCCTCTACCTTTTACTGAAATTGTGACAGGAATAACTTCATTTCCAAATTTTCCTGCTTCCCATGCTGCTTTACTTCTGGTGTAGGAGTTAATAGCGTAAGTATCCTGTTCATCTCGTGAAATATTAAGCTTCTTTGCAGTATTCTCAGCACAGTTTCCCTGATAAAAGTTGGAATTTTTTAAAACTAATTAACTTTTGATAACTTAGAAAATATCTATTAACTTTGCATAACTTATAAAATAGTGGTTAGCAGTTAAATTTAGCTTCTTAAGACATACTTCTTTTGTACTAGGTAACTTTTCACTTGTCTCACAGTCAAATACTTAAATTAGCCCAGAAGCTGACATTTCAAAAGCAAATAATTAAATACTTATAGAATCCGTAATTAGAAGTCAGAAAGACACCCTAAAGAATGCAGGGCTTTGTCTTCAACAATTGAGCCATGCTGGTACAGTGAAACCTGTGAGAGCTGGAACTCGACGGGACTGCCTTGTTTTTCTAGATCTCACAAGTTTTCTGCCTTCGACAGAGGGCAGTCTTACTACTTTTCTATCGCTCTCTAATAATGGAAAATAACATCTGAGTTTTCCTTCTCTGACAAGTTTCCACCTTACACAGGTTCTGGATTTGGCAGGTTTACTGTACAACAGGCATAGAAAATTGTGTATCAAAATGAATGGCTAAAATCAACATTTATAAAGCCCATCCTTCAGTTTCTAAAATACATGTAATTAAGAAAAATCAAGTAGTATTGTATACTTGATTCTGGCATTTCGCCATTAAAAAAAAAAACATTTACCATGTGTATTTTATTGTAGACATCTGTTAGCCCATCTTTTACGATCAAATCTTCGAGCTGGACTCCACCATATGGTGTTGCTCCTCTGTTCATCACATATGGAACATTGGACATACTCTCCATTCCACCTGCCACCATCACATCCTGCTCAGCAGCACACAAAACCCAAGGTCAATTCAAAAGGTAGCTGCAAACACACCCTTTACATAGCCACCAACAAGTGTTGACATGCTCGTTCAACACACGTCTTCATTTTATGAACTATTTACCAACACGTGAAATGCCTACATTTCCTTCAAAATTCCATGGTCTCCCTGACCACTTACTTCTTTCCCTTTTTAGGAACAGCTTCCCTTCTTGTGTGTTCCCCAATTATTGTGTAATGTTTTTATTACTATTAATTGCACTGCATTGTAGCTATATTTACATGTCGAATCTTCTCACTAGACTAAGCCCCTTTGAGGCCAGAAAACTCTGTCATATTTATTTCTATATTATCAGGGCCTGGCATATAGTAGTTTACTAAGTATTAATCTGCCGTTTTTCAAGTCAACAAAAATTCTTCTGTACTATTAGGGCTAATTAAAAACAAACAGTTTAATGTAAAGCATTAATGTAAATATAAATAAAAATTAAAGCCAAAGATATTTTCTCACAGCCTATAATCAGGAATAAAGACAAACAGAAGTTCTACAGCAAGAAAATTAAATGTCTTGCCTACTCTGAAATATGGAGGATCTCAATTAGTTCTGGCCTAAGTTTTATTCCCTTATCTTGAAATACAGAATTTTTTCTGGAGATAATGACAATAATACCTGACAGAAAATAAGGTATCAATTGTTCTTCATTTTAAAATAAAACAATTTTCCAAAATCATAGGTAATTAAATATTCAACAGGGTAATTCCTAGCATCCCTGTAAGTCAGAAAACTATGCCTGCACGAATGAATCCAATAATACTAACTGAAAGCATTTAAATGTAATGCAAATAGCATTTACCGAAGAACAACGAAGAACAAATCGATTGAGACAAGACTTCCCTTGTCATTCAGAAAGTTCTGAAACATATTTAAACAATCTGATGACTATTTTTCACCCATCTGTTTGACCAGAGTTTGGTAACACCATTGTTGGTGAGGATGTGGGGAAAAAGACTCCCATAACCTCTGCAAAGTAAGTAACTAGTACAACTTTTATGGAAAGCATTTGAAAATATCAAATGTAAAATCCTCTGACTCAGCAATTCTCCTTTTAGGAATTTTTCCAACAGAGACTTGCACATAAAGACAGAAAATGTTAAATGCGTTCTTCACTGCTCTATCTCCAGTGATACTCACATAATAGGTGCACCAGTTATAAGGGGTAGAACTAGGATCTGAAGTCAGATAGTCTGGCTCTAAGGCCAACAGAAAGCCTAAATGATTCGACAGCTGAGCCTGGGCATGTAAGAACCACAAATTAGTCATAAATCCTTGGCTCAATCAATGAATGATTTGATTCCTAGGGCCAGCACCTTAGTCTCCTTTATAATAAAAAATGCTTCATATTCTGGCAAATGTACAGTTTATGATTTTTAAAATCACCCAGAATCTCAGAGAAAGACTGTAAGGGTCATTCCTAAAACCAAAACTAATTTTCAACACAAGACATTTAAGCGAGCCTTTCGATCTCTTCCTTCAAATGGAAAGCAAATCCAGATGCTCGCAAGTGTGATACAACGTGGCAACTGTACTTACAAGAATCTTACTTCTAAAACATGAATGTGCTGAATTTTTAGTTTCTTTTAACACTGGATATCATTTTAATGATACGATGAAAGACAAGGTGCTTCTTACCTGATGTCCACACATCAGATTCTGAGATGCCATCATGATAGCTTTCATTCCTGAAGCACAGACTTTGTTTATGGTGGTGCATGGAGTAGAAATAGGTAAGCCTAAAACCAAGATAATTAAGTCACACTCTTGAATAACTAAGATGCTCACTTCTCAAACACAACTGTAGAATTAACAAAATAGAACATGTTAAACTACAATCAACACCACTTCATTTGCTAAAGTAAGTCTAGGTTGTTAAATGATGCATTTAATATTTGATTTAAGCTGAAGTGGTCTCCATTTTACCATTTCAAACATTTTAAGTATAAAAGCAATAATGTATTCCTGTTACCTGCACCCAGTACTGCTTGCCTTGTAGGGGCTTGTCCTTCACCCCCTTGTAGAACATTACCCATGTATACTTCTTTCACTTCTTCTTTTGGAATCCCTTTTTAAAAAACAAAAACAAAAAAAACAATACAGGCATTTCTTTTTATTATTATTTTGTTCAATTTAATAATTAGTGACTACCCAATGAAGTATGTGTCTTTAAATAACATGGTTTCTTTTTCTTGTGAGTTTGAGTTTTACTCCCAACTCTATATTACACAGAATTCTTTACAAAGGAACTCAGAAATATAGGCGTTAACTCATTTCTAAGTGATATGTATATAGTACAAAATAAATATTTGTCCCATTGAATCATTCTGGCCCCTCACCACAAAAAGCAAACTACTGACCTGCTTTTTCAAGGGCTCCCTGAATTGCAATGGTACCAAGTTTAGTGGCTGGCAGTGAGGAAAGGCTGCTCAGAAAGGATCCAATGGGTGTTCTTATGGCACTTACTATGACCACTTCCTGACAAGGCAGAAGATGGTAAAAATTACAACATTTAAATATTTTACCCAAATCATCTTTCATTAAATAAACTTATAATTCATAGATACGTCATCTAAGAAACTACTTTTATGAATGATTAGTCACCAAAGGTTAAAACAGCCCCAATTATAATGTGAACAGCACTAAAATTAATCAGTTCAATGCTAGTGCTTTATAATTTAGGACCTAACAGCAAACATAAAAAAAAAAATTTAAGAAATAGTCACTCTAATCTTTTTTTTTTAATAGTACTTTAGACGAAGGTTTACAGAATAGTTTCTCATTAAACAGTTAGTACACGTATTGTTTTATGACAATGGTTAACAACCCCACAACATGTCAACACTGCCCCTTCTCAACCTTGGGTTCCCTATCACCAGCTTTCCTGTCCCCTCCTGCCTTCTAGTCCTTGTCCCTGGACTGCTATGCCCCATTAGTCTCATTTTGTTTTATGGGGCTGTCTAATCTTTGGCTGAACGGTGAACCTCGGGAGTGACTTCATTACTGAGCTAAAAGGGTGTCCAGGGGCCATACTCCTGGGGTTTCTCCAGTCTCTGTCAGGCCAGTAAGTCTGGTCTTTTTTTGTGAGTTAGAATTTTGTTCTACATTTTTCTCCAGCTCTGTCCGGGACCCTCTGTTGTGATCCCGGTCAGAGCAGTCAGTAGTGGTAGCCAGGCACCATCTAGTTGTTCTGGACTCAGTCTGGTGAAGGCCGTGGTAGTTGTGGTCCATTAGTCCTTTGGAGTAATCTTCTTGTATCTTGTTCTCTTCGTTCTACCTTGCTCCCGAAGGGGTGAGACCAGTGGATTATCTTAGATGGCTGCTCACAGGCTTTTAAGACCTCAGACGCTACTCACCAAGGTAGAATGTAGAACATTTTCTTTATAAATTGTGTTATGCCAATTGAGCTAGATGTTCCCCGAGACCATGGTCCCCACAGCTCTCCGTCCTGCAATTCAGTCCCTCAGGGAGTTTGGATGTGTCTATGGAGCTTCCATGACCTTGCCTTGTGCTTCCTCAGTATTGTGTACTGTCTTACCCTTCACCAAAGTTACCACTTAGTGTCTATTTAGTATTTTCCCCTCCCACCCCTCCCATCCCTCATAGCCAACAAAGATTTTTTTTGTGTGTAAACTTTCTTACGAGTTTTTACAGTAAAGTTCTCATACAATATTTGTCCTTTTGTGATTGACTTATTTCACTGAGCATAATGTCCTCCAGTTTCACCCATGTTAGGAGATGCTTCACAGATTCACTATTGTTCTTTATCACTGCATAATACTCCACTGTGTGTATGCACCATAGTTTATCCATTCATCTGCTGATGGGCATGTAGGTTGTTTCCATATTTTTGCTATTGTGAACAATGCTGCAATGAACATGGGTGTACATATCTCTATCCGTGTGATGGCTGGTATTTCTCTAGGATATACTCCTAGTAGCGGGATTGCTGGATTGTATGGTATTTCTATTTCTAGCTTTCTAATGAAGCACCATACCATTTTCCAAAAATGGTTCTATCATTTTGCATTCCCATCAGCACTGCATAAGAGTTCTGATCTCCCCGAAGCCTCTCCAACATTTGTTATTTCCAGTTTTTTTGATTCGTGCCAGTAATGCCGGGGGTAAGATGGTATCTCATTGTGGTTTTAATTTTCATTTCTCTAATGGCTAGTGATTGTGAGCATTTCCTCACGTGTCTGTTGGCTGCCTGAATGTCTTCTTTGGTGAAGTGTCTGTTCATTTCCTTTGCCCATGTTTTAATTAGATTATTCGTCTTTCTGCGGTAGAGGTGTTGGATTTTCTTGTAGATTTTAGAGATTAGACTTTTGTCTGACTTGCAATGCCCAGAAATTTTTTCCCGGTCTGTAGGTTCTCTTTCTACTCTTTTGGTGAAGTCTTTTGATGAGCATAAGCATTTAATTTTTAGAAAATCCCGGTAATCTAGCTTATCTTCTGGAGTTTGTGTGTTGTTGGTTATCATTTGTATCCTGTTAATGCTGTGTATTAGGGCCTCTAGCGTTGATCCTATTTTTTCTTCTATGATCTTTATAGTTTTTGGCTTTATATTTAGGTCTCTGATCCATTTTGAATTAGTTTTTGCGTATCGTGTGAGGTATGGGTCCTGTTTCATTTTTTTGCAGATGGACATCCAGTTTTGCCAGTACCATTTGTTAAAAAGACTGTAAAAAGACTGTCGTTTCCCCATTTGATGGACTTTGGGCCCTTGTCAAAGATCAGATGACCGTAGGTTGAAGGATTTACATCTGAGTTCTCAGTCCTGTTCCATTGGTCAGTGTATCTGTCGTTATACCAGTATCAGGCTGTTTTGACTACCGCAGCTGTACAGTAGGTTCTGAGGTCAGGTAATGCAAGTCCTCCTACTTTATTCTTCTTCTTCAATAGTGCTTTACTTATCCGGGGCTTCGTCTCTTTCCATATGAAGTTAAT